TGGGTTTCATGAGGCTCTCTGGTTCGATACAAGGGTTCTAAAGAAACTCACTTTCGTTCGATCCCAGATCACGTCGACAACCTCGGTCGCAACCCACGTCGACATGGTCTTCCGACCTCTTCCGTCTCTCCGTCCGGTCAAACACCGACGTCGAAGACCTTTGTTCCAAGGCCCACCTGTGTGGGCGCTTTGCAGTCTGGCGCCAGCTGCGCTTGGAACTTGGGAAGCCTCACACGGTCGAACTGGGCGGAACCTGTACGGCCTCTTCGGCCGGGTGAAGGGCAGCTGAAAGGGGCAAAGGGACGACTGCCAGTCACTTGGGATGATAGGAACACCTGGTGATCTGAGCTACTGCCAGTCGATGTAAGCAGGGGGGGGCTCATGGGCGGCTGCCTTCAACGTGCTTTTAATACGTCCCCCACGCCCCAAAACCATTGGGTTGTAGAGGAAAACTGTTTTCCAGAGGTCAATTCTTAGGTTTCATGGGATCGTTTGCGACGGGGTAGTCCGAGTTGGATGATTTGATCGTCGTCCTCCCGGGTCATCCCCACTCCGAAACCCATTTCAGCATATCTGAACTCCCCCGCTTCGCGAAAAACCTTGTGACCATGCCACCATCCATGTATAGCTGTTTTAAGATGTTTTAAGGCATGACGGCCACGTTCATGGGTAAACGGTAAACGTATATAACTATAATATCATACATGGTTCTTCAGTTCGTGGCCGAACTTGATCCCCTGGTTTGAGGTCACTTACATGTATATAATATATAGGCCTGCAAAAGGCCACAAACAGGGAATGCCCAAGAAACTCCACAGCCAGATCACGAACTGTTCAGAAGCGTACATCTGGGATGGTCGGGACTTCGCCACTGTTGCCGAGGGACTTCGCCACATCCAAGACTGCCATGGCAGTCAACACAGCATTGAAGACCTGCCCGGACGAAGAACGACGAAGCGCAGGATGCCTGCCGCCAGAGTCTACGTCGAAAAAATAGAGAGTACGACGCCCTGGCGGTGTGTGTTTTTTTTTTGCGTTTTTCTATGATTTTCAATAGATTTTCTATGTTTTCGTTGCATTCACCCATCTGGTACACATCACTTGTGCCCATAGCCTGCTGCCCCTTTACCATGATCTTATCAACAGATTTCCTCATCAAGCTTTTAAACACATAGCTAAAGTCTGTATCTGTCAATTGCATCATAGCTGTCATCTTTGGAGGAATGATAGACTGTAGCTGATGGGCTGCATACATCTTCTTGTATATATCATCGCTAAACGAAGCAGCAAAGCAATCCCTCTGATAGGTGGATACTGGATACATCCTCCCTTGCTTTGCAATGACCCATGACATAATGATATTGTCCTGATTGGAGGATGGTTGGGAATAAACATCATAGTGCTCCAACAAATGAGGATGACCCCTTCTGATCTTGACCCATTGCTCCAATGCCCTCCTGGCACTCTCTCCCTTCCTATGCAGCTTGATGTCTCCCAAATAGTTAAATGATTCATCCTCAATCCACCTGCCTTTGTCATCAATGTTGTCCAATCTTGCATGTTGCCCAGATACTATCAGCGCCCCCTTGCCCACATGTCCAATGGGGTCCTCACCAGGGTTGAAGAAATTGCTCACCAGCTGATGGGCCTCAAAGACAATCCTCATCTTCTCAGTTGCTGAGTCCGTCATGATAGTCAAATGAGCTCTTCCCCCACCCTTTTGATCCTCAGTGGTCACCAATTGCCAATCTTGCTTCGTCTGATCATCCAATGCCTCAAGGTCCTCATTGGGTTCCTGTCATGGGCTTGTTGGTTCAGCTCATCTTGAAGGTCCCTCCTAATCTTTTTGATGGTCTTCCCATGTGTCCTGGTCTCATGGCCTGCAAATACAGCCTTAGTTGATCCCTTTTTCACCCATACAGGAACCTGATCTGAGAATCCAAGCATACATTCAGGCTTTGCCACAAATTCCTTCAGATCTTCATGCCCCATGGACACAAGGCTCATGATATAGTCATGGTGGTT